TTCTATCTTTGACCATTTTTATTGAATTCAGAATACCAACACCAGTCCATTCAGTAATGTCGTCTATAATATAATACATAAACAGAAAAAAAATAACTGAAGCTCATATACTGATAATATAAACATGAAGGAAATGAAAGAAAAACTAAAACTAATAAATATCACCATCTATCAAAGTTTACCAATTGTTTAAGTTGAGCAACAAAAAAAAATAAAATAAAAATGTACATGTTAGCATATTTTGGCGCATACATATTCAAACATACATACATACTTATATAAAGAAATTTAAGCTTTATACATACACACAAGCGCACAGATATACACAGATCTACCTACATTTTCAAAGTTAAATTAATTCAATATAAACAAACAGCTATGTATCCACCAATAAACTCATCAGTAGGTATATATAAATCTCATTACCCTACCTAGTAAAACGCTTAATAAAGGAAAAAATGCAGTAAGAATAAGTAAATATATTATTTAACTAATTCAACCCATTCACACACACATTCAAACCAACAGATTCATATCTTATCATGTACAAACACACGCCTTCATGCTCACTCGCACCCATGCATACCTCGTCATGCACATTTACACAATAACTGAAACTCATACAGACAATATAAACAGAAAGGAAATGAAAGAAAAACTAAAACTAAAAAATATTACTATCTATCAAAGTTTACCAATTTTTTAAGTTGAGCAACAAAAAAAATAAAATAATTGATGACATTTTTCAAAAATTTTCATGTAAAACATGTACATTTTTATTTTGTTAGCCTATTCATTTTATTTACCAATATTTAGATCGTCGTTTATAAGAATAACAAATTTTATTGATTTTTTTATTTCAATCCAGATATATCAGCTTCAAATGGAATTACAAAGTCTTTGTTGAGGATCGTAATAGTAGGGCATCAGACATTTGCAGAACATTTTCAAACAGTTTACATTTTTATTCAAAACGCAAGAGAGCTTCATAGGATGGGCGAAGTGTTTTCGTACAATGTTAAATTATTTATATANTGATAAGGATGATGATAACGGTTGTTGGTCCAATCCATATGGCCCAGCAGAATAAATTCATCCTCACTTTTTGGTTATACTGGTTAAGGTTGTCGGAAGCGCTATTTCTAAAAATACTTGGTGTTTCGCGAACATGTGAAGCATTTTGTAAGCAGTTTTAAAATATGTTTTTGACAAATAACCAATATCAGCCGTGCTTCCCCACATTCTCATTTCTGCTTTTGTAAAATTTTGTAACCTTTCACGCGCAATTTTCAATTCAGGATATTTTTCACCAAGTTCTCTCCATTCGGACAAAATGGTGTGCAGACTACCGCCAAATCCACCCCAACGATACCAAATCATTGGGAGAGAACAATCAATTGAAGGAGGACTACATTGTTTCATAAATTTTAAATCTCCTACAAGTCCAATTCGGAAAAATTTATTTTTTTCGATATTTAATTTAGAAAGTTCTGTCTTAATATAAACATCATCTGCTATTAAAAATATCCCGTCTATATCATATCCCATTCTCATGGCCTTCAAAATACATTGATAATTAAGAGATCCAGCAGTTTGTCCGTGTTGTTGAAAATATGTTGCAAAACTTATTCTGTAATTAAATATTAGATTTTGTTTTAACATTTCAAACCCGCAGTAAAGAATGTATGGATAAATTGGTCTGTGTATTATCTCTAGCAATGGAATAACTTCAGGATGCGGATAATTGAAAACAATCAAGAGTAACACATTGGGTTGTTGAATCCATGGTTTAGATAGATTAATTAAGTTTTTTGGAATGATAGATGGAGAATCATTTTCAGAACATGTTTTTATGTAATAACTTTGACTGATGTTAACATTTGCAATGTGATACTCCACAGAATTCTTAATAACTTGCTGCCGGACCGGATGCAAAATCAAAGACGAGTTTACTAAGCACTCTTTAGTGGAGTTCATTTGCTTTGGTTTGAAATTAATTTTGTTTAGTACATTTATCCAGTTGAATAAATTTTTAACAGAAACATCAGAAAGAATTTTTTTGGAATTTTCCAAAAAACAATGTTCATCGATTATCAGATTTTGGCAAGGCGTGAATTCTTTTACTGCCTCATAGCATTCTGAAGAAACATTTAATGCAGAAAATTCACGGGTCAAATAACTTTCCCAATAAACAGAAGTGAAACAGCCAAGCTGCCAAACAGCCCATTGAACAAAACATTTATATATCAAATCACCATTTTCTAAGCCGTTTTTTAAAACTGGTTCAAACACTGGCAAAAACCAAAAGGAGCAAGTAGAAAAAAATGATTTTTTAATTTCAAAATAGATGAAATTATTTCTTGGAATAGCTATATCTGGCATTTTTCTATCACAGTTTTCGCTTCCTACTCTAGAACTTTCAAAATAGGCAGGTGTATAAATGGCAGGAAGAATTCCATCGTAACAATGCTGTGGAAATCTATGCGTGTCGTTGATGTCATCATATTCCTCAATAGAGTAACATCCGTAGTATATGGAGCTGTTGAATGGCTTTATTTTGTAATTGTTAACGTGAGTTGCATTGTACAACACTCCAGTTAGATGCTCGTCGTTGAACTTCAACAAGGATTTCCGGAATTGCGTGTGATTTAATATTTCATTGGAATTCAAAGTATACAACATGTGAGCTCCTTGCTATAACAACATTAAAAATAATATATGCCAACTTCAATTTTAAATTTGATTTAAATTTTAAAAACAACCGTGATGGCCAGGTAATAAAAAATAGCATCGGAATCGAATTCTGACAACAGCATCTCATTTTTTAACCAGTTTTCGCTTGATCTATGAATCACTTTTTCATTCTTAAATCTAAAAATGAATTTTGATAAAGCAAATTTTCTAGCATGTAATTTTTTAAAGTAATTTTCCAAGCTAAATACAATTTTTGAAATTATTTATGTAGAAAGTTATAATCATCTAAACGAATTATTTTAAAATAATGGCCTTATCTCAAAGGAGTAATCATTAGTAATACACAAAACAGTCCAGTTGGACATTGCCTGAGCATAAAAGTGGCATGTTTCTTGGTAACTAGATTTAATCAACAACCACTTGCTCAATGGCGAATATTTCTTCAGTGTTACGAGTTCGTCTACCTTTATCTTCACAAAATTTGATTTTTATGAAAAAATGAATATTTTATCGTTAGTTTTATCGGCTATTTCAAAAATTATCTAATAAATTTTCATGAAAAAATATATTTGCTCATAATCATTTTAAAAACATTGATACTTCAATTGTTAAATTAATTAAATTAGCGAACAATTATAATGTAAAAACCAAGAAATTGCTGTAAAATTACGGATAAAAAGTTTCACAAACTTTTGTAGAAATTCTGAATTTGAAATCGCGAGCGATGTATATGAGATAAATTGTTAATCCGATCCACATGCATATTTTGTCAATGTGTTTTAACAAGCCACGAATAACCACGTAGACCATTTTTGCATCAGGAGACAAATGAAAATGTAAGTTGATAAAAAAGATTGTGTGGGACACTGCCGGTGTTGTTTTTATTTTTTATTCTAAATATCTGTAATTATCAATACATTGAGTTTGAAGCAAATACTTATACTGTGTCGGATTCATTATTTATTTATTTATTTATTCAATTTATTCGTCAATTCAAATGAAACAAATGTAAGAAATGAAAATGATACGGAGAAGAAAAAAGAAAAAAGACCTTATGATAGACCACCGTTAAACAGAACAATAAAATTAAAAAAAAACAAATAGTCCTTAAATTTAAATAGAATTTTAAACTTATACAAGCGTGTAGGCTACAAATGTTGATACAAATATAATGAATATAATCAGCATAAAAACATTGAAAATTAGTTCAACATATTAACCAATGAAAATTAGTTATTACCAATGAGTGTACAGAAAGATATTAAATGACATCAATATACATACACACATACATGTACACACACACATACATATACATCTTTATACAGTTTGCTTTGCAAATAATAAAAACTGCAAGTTATTTGAATTGCAAAGCTGTATATAATTCCAACGTCAATAAAATTGATTATAACGACAAGAATTTGGTTAGAAATATTGAGAAATGTAATAAAAAAAACTAACCAACGCTAGAAACTTTGTAGATTTCATAAATTACTGCATATATAAATATATATATAATATATATATATACACACACACACACACACACACACACACACATACAATTATTTGTAAAGATCACCGCGTTTTCGGCATTATTCAACTTGTAGTTGAGTTTCTCAATTTTTCTAACGAGTATTATCATCTTGATGAAGTTTATTAAGGTTAAATAAAAAAACTTTTAATATTTGACAAAACATTATTAATAACGTTATTACTACAGAAAATCTCTTTTCGGCATCAACTGCCATCATCTGTGTAGTTATATAGTATTGTTCCGTCTTTTGTCAAATATTAAAAGTTTTTTATTTAACCTTAATAAACTTTATCAAGATGATAAAAGTCTCGCTAGAAAAATTGAAAAACTCAACTACAAGTTGAATAATGCCAAAAACGAAGTGATTTTTATAAATAATTGTATTTATGATAGTCTAAACCCAAATTATATATATATATATATATATATATATATATATATATATATATATACATATTATTCGGCAGGCTACTGAAGAGTCTCGTTAGAGACGAAACGTACGTCTGGCCTATGGCGGGTAATTGTTTACCAAAAATACCTCTTGCAACTGAATGGGTTCTTAAACCTTGTAATAACGTGATGTTGTTCTCACCTATTGGTCGCGACACCTCAATTTGAGTTTCTTGGTTACAATAATTGAGTTGTGTTATCTTAAACCTTATTCGGCAGGCTACTGAAGAGTCTCTATGGCGGGTAATAGTTTACCAATAATATATATATATATATATATATATTATATATATATATATATATATATATATATATTAGAACAAAGAACAAAAAAGGAAGCATACCTGTAGTAGTACCTTGACAACCATACAAACAGGGACTGATGTTATTGACGTATTGTAAAAAGTTAACCGCAAAAAGCACATTACATGTTCATACTCATTCATATACATTTATATTCTTCTGTTATTTTTTTATACATTCATTTGTATATTCATACATTCATTTGTTCATACTTCTTCTTCAGATAAAAGCATCATCTTAATTATTTAATCAAAAAATTTAATATTATTGATTGATACATGGTCCAAATCCAAAGATAAATTATTCCCTAAAGAGACTCCCATAAAAAATATGGATGACTTAGACACGTGCAGTCTTTAAAACTCATTTGAAAAAGTGTATACTTTTCTTAGGCTTTTAACATTACTTATTGATATAGTAAAAATTTCAAGGTTTTTGTTAGCAGTAGGTAACTTTTAACATTACTTATTGATATTGTAAAAATTTCAAGGTTTTTGTTAGCAGTAGTTGCTTATAGACCTAATAAATAAATAAATAAACTTTAATGAATGTTAAAGTTTATTTGACATGAACTCTAAATCAAATTTTATAAATTTGATTTAGAGTTAGTAATTTCCCTGCTTTATAACTCAAAGTAATGAGATCGCTTACTTAGCATAAGACAACGTAATCAGTAGTTATATAATTTTTTTACATGTGTGATATGGGACTCTACATTATTATCCTATAAAATCGTCCCATAATTTAAATATGGATATATTAAACTATTATATAATAACTTTTTTATTTTAAAGGTAAGTTTAAATCTAATTTTATAGATTGAGCCAATGATTCGCAAGGTTTTCCTTGAAATATATAGGATATGTTCTAACCATGAAAAGTTATGCGATATAAGGAAACCCATAAATTTATTTTAACATAAACTCTTCCAACGTTGTTATTGTTTAAATAATTCTCCATATGCATGTTATTAGTCAGAATTTGTGGACAAAAAACAAATAATTGGTTTTAATATAAATGATAGATAAATGATTTTTGCACATAACCAATATAATTGATTATGTGTAAATGTGCAATATAATGTTTTATGTACTAATTTAAGTTCTAAATTTAATTTTAATGCAACTTCATTGATGTCCTCACCGCAGCAAAGAATTGTTGTATCGTCACCTTAAAGAACCGTTTTAACAGACTTGCTAACATTAGACAAATCGTTATTGAAAATAAGGGATAGCCCAGCACTGATCCTTGAGGAAGGCCATACTCAGCAACAACTTTTGAGGATGGACACGACTTGAACCTCACATATTGGTAGCGATCTTTCAAATAATCAGCAAACTATTTGTGTATAAAACCACGAATTTCTAATTGAAACATTTTCTTAAGGAGCAAGTCATGGTCAGTCGAATCAAAAGCTTTTCTGAAATGCAAGAATAATTCAACAGTGACTAACTTTTTTCCATATTATTCAAAACATAATTGTTAATATCCACTTTGAAGGTCACATTATTTCATCTTTCTTATTTATTTTCAGGTTTTTATATTTTCCGGCAAGCTCTCTGGTTTCAAAATTGAAACGTTATTTCAAACTAGTTTCAAAAATTTCATTTTGGTTTCAATATTTTACGTGGTTTTGATGTTAAATGCAGTGTCTTTTTACGTCGTTTGATGTGGATGTTGAAGTCCTTATAGCAAAAAACATTTATTATGCTAATAAGCTAATAAAAACTAATTCGTAAAAAAATATTGTCGTAACCCTTGACCTCGTAACTACCAATACCGATGTTATAACTTCAGTGATCTCTATTTCCAACACCAGTGTTGTAGCTTCTAACGATCGTCAAGTGTTCGTTATTCATTAGGTTCAAGATTTCCGATAGATGAACACAACTGCTTCAAACGCCAACTAAGTTGAACGTTTATTTGAATACCAGCAGTAACAGAAACAATAAACTAATCCAAGTAACTACATAAATCACATTTAAGACTTTGCTTTCTCAGCTCGAAACCTCTTTGCAAACCCCGACTGCTGAACCTCAATACGTAGGATGTTTTTATAGCCAATTTTACAACTAAAAGATTACAAATATTGCAAAGATAACAACAATAGCCAAATAATAAATAACGCAGCGCACTTCGATCATTCCCGCGATTATAACAATAGGTATAAATGTTTAAGGCGTGAGTGCAAAATAAAGCAATGTGTGTGCGTGTGCGTGCGTGCGTGTGTGTGTGTGCGCGTAATTATATAAGCGTTGTTTGGACTACACAGTGATATAAAGTCCATCAATCAACGAGATAATGTTTCAATTCAAAACAACTGCCTAAGTACGCACATATAATATACCGTTTAAACTATTTTCTCAAGTGTTTTGGGGTTGTCATTTTATTTTAATATAATCTTTATTGTTGATGATGATAATAATAAATAATATATAATATTGTCAGTTGTAGTTACAAGCTTGGGAATAAGGTTTTTTCAAAAAATTCACGTTGCACGCATATATAGTAGCGTATTTGTTAAATTTCGCTCACACACACGCACGCACGCACACACCGTAATGTCTACATTAACTTGGATCGATGCAGACACCGTCAAAAAACTCTTAAATAGGGATGACCTGTTTAAGCTACTGGAAGCCGGTATGGGACAATACTCCCTCGGTATCGATAGCGGTATCGTTCAACCGGTTCGGTGTACCGTTGCGGTACAGGATGTAGAAGGGTTGGAAAAATTTTTCACAATTTTCTTATGATCAGTTGTTTAATCTAATATAATTCAGAATGTTTAAATATTATATATACACGTATGTATATACACAGGAATTTGTCCACATCATACCAATAACCACATACTAACTATGCAAATAGCCTCACACACACACACAACAACAACAACACGCACGCCAAATCAACAACAGCGCGCACACAAACACAACAACAAAACTATTAATAATTATAACAAAACGACGACCGACACAAATAACACTACACACACACACACACACGCACGCACACACACACACAAGCACACACACACAAGCACACACACACAGTTACTTAGGAACCATGCCTTGTTATAGTAGATCCCACGGAATCCTGACGACAAAGTTGGTTTCATTTTATCCCGGAAACGTCCGGGTACCAACGCATCTTGCATGGATCATGCATTTCAACCACTTGGACGGAACCCTATTGGCTGTTATTAATAATATAATATTAATCAATTAAAAATAATTATAATATTATTATTAATCAATTAATAATTATAATGATAACAATAATATTATTAATATTAATAATCGGCGTACCTATACATCGATCCATCCATTTACTTTTCCAAGCATTCATTCGTTCGTTCATTTATTTATTCACTCAACTCTCCACTCATTAATTAATTCATTACATAATTAATTAATTATTAATTCATTTGTTCGTTCGTTCTTTCATTCATTCACCGATTCATTCATTCATACGTGTGTTAGTTTGGTCATCCATACATTCATTCGTTTATTCACAATTAATTAATTAATTAATTCATTCATTCATTCATTCATTCATTCATTAATTCATTCACCCACCCTTTCCACATATCATCATCTCTCTCCCAACAAACCATCCAGTTGATGGACGGAGAGGTGATTACGAATGTTAGGACTGGTCTCGTGTCAGCCGTTGCCACTAAGGTTGCGTCATCATCATCTTCTTCCTCCTCCTCCTTCTTCTCCTCCTCCTCATCATTTTCACCATCATCATCATTATCATCATAATACTTTTTCATTCTTATCATCATCATCATCTCCATCTGTACAATCTTCATCTGTGGTTATAATCCTCATTTCATCATCCTCATCATCATCTTTACAATCACCACCACCACCATCATCATAATTATCAGTCATCATTATCATCACCACCACTACAATCATTTTCACCACAACCATCATCATCATCATCATCATTATCATCGCCACCATTACATACGTCATTACCACCCACCACCACCACCATCATAATTATTAGTCATCATTATCATCGTCATCATAACAATCATCATCACCATCATCAGTATTTGGCGGGAAAGGATTCAAAGATCCTGGCAATCTTGGGAGCAGGGACTCAGGCCAGGAGTCATTACGTCGCCATGTCCTCTCTATACCAGTTCAAACAAGTATGGAATAACAACAATAATAATAAAAACAGCAATAATAATAATATTAATAATCATATTAATAATAGTAATAATCATCATCCTCATCATCATCGTCGTCATCGTCGTCGTCGTCATTATTAACAGGTACGTATTTGGAATCGAACGAAACAAAATGGCGAAAAGTTTGCGGATGAGATAAGAAGTGGATCGCTGCTTGCAGTACAAGACGCTACTTCTACCACTACCACTACTACTACCACTATGACCACAAATAATAATAATTGGACTGTCACGTGTTGCGACACGGTAGAGGAAGCGGTGAAAGACGCTGACGTCATCTGCGTCGCCACCTTTGCCACTGAACCGATTCTCAAGAAAAAATGGGTCAAAAACGGAGCTCATATAAACGGTTTGACGGTATATCGGTATAAACAATTTGTCATTATAAACTTTCTGTCGGTATAACAATTTGTCGGTATGAACTGTTTGCTTGCGATATTGTTATCATCATTATTATTATTATTATCATCATCGTCATCATCATCATCATCATTATCATCGTTACCATCGCCAAACCTGACAGCCGTTGGTGCGGTAAGGCCGAATTGGCGGGAACTAGATGACGATCTGATGACGTCATCAGTGGTGTACACGGACACCAGAGATGGCTGTCTTCTCGAATCTGGTGATGTCATACTGTCCAAGGTGAAGCGTTTGCTGATTGGCTGGCTGGTTGATTGATTGATTGGTTGAGTTAGTGAGTGAGTGAACGAGTGAGTGGATTGAGTATGGGATGAATGAGTGACTAATTGATTGACTGACCGACCGACCAACCAACCGGTCGGCCAACTGACCAAAGTTGAAGAAACGATCTAACTCCGCCGTTCCATCAATGTGGAAGACGTAATGAATTAACTACTGGCATTTATTTACGAATAGAAGTGTTCCATAAAATTTTTCTTAAATTCTAAATCTAGTTTTTTTTTGCAAGCTTGCTAACTGATGCAATAACCGTTATTATAAATAATTAATGAAGGGTGATAGCGAGGGGGTCTAAAGAGTCCAGTGTAGAGCAGCAAAGTTGGCTCCATCTATAAGAAACCTAGCTTACGAAGATCGTCTTAAAAAATTAGCATTAACAACTTTGGTGGAAATAAGAAAAAGAGATTTGATTCAGTTGTTTAAAATCGTGCATAATTTAGACAAACTTGATTTAAATAATCGTTTCGGCATTGTCAAAACCAAAACGTGAGGTCACAGTTTGAAATATTTTAAAGAGTTAACAAGACATAGAGGCAGAGAGAATTACTTATTCAATAGAGTCGCAAATACATGGAACTCATTCGTTCATTTTGTGGTCCAGTCGTTAACTTATAAAAATAGTGATGAATGAATGAATGAACGAATGAATTAATTCAATTAATTAAATTTGTTGGACAGTGTAAGATATACGCAGAGATAGGCGAGGTGATCAACAAATCGAAGCAGTCCTACCAGGATGAAACCACTATCTTCAAATCTGTTGGTTAGCGTATAATATAATATATCTACGTGCATGTTTGTTGGAAAATTTTCGACAACAAGAACAAAATAAAGTTAAGGATTGATCTTTGTCGGGCCATAATGTCATGTGTGCGTATGTATGTGCATGAATATGTATATATTTATAAATATATATGTTTGTGTGTGTATTCCATATTAACTTCATAATTTTACAGGTATGGCTATTGAGGATGGCATATGTGCGAAGTATATCTACGAAAAGCACACGAGTACCAACTGCACTTAGTCCAATGCAGATGTATGTGTGCATGAGAACATTGCACTATTACTCCGTAGAGAGAATATTCAAATGCTGGTCGCACCGATTTAACTACAATCACATACATCAATCGATCAATCAATCAATCAATCATTCAATTAATTAATCACTCAACCGATGAATGATTAACATTCCACATTAACGACACAACCAGTCAACAAACCCTGTTCCTTTCTTAAATTTTCGCACATCTTATAGATTTATTAAAATAATAACTTTTTTCGTTTAAGAAATTTTAAAGTTTTATTCCTGAAAAAAATGGCGTAGCGTAGAAGAGAATGGAGAAAATGTCGTTATTCTCTGCCGATTACATACGCACAAACACAAGCAAACTCACAAATAGATGTAGGGCTACACGTACAGGCTCAAACAAATCAGCACATATTCACACGTACTTATAACATATGTAAACACATGCACATATATTTGTATTTATTTCGTTTTGTTTTTCAGTTTTTACTAAAAAATTTGGAACCAGAGGAAAAATCTATTTTGTAATTTTTATTTAACATTGACACAAAAATCACAAGAATAATAATGAAAAAGATATAAATTCACCAATCAGCCAGCCAGCCATTCATCCACCAATCCATTCATTCATTCAATCATTCATTCATTCACAAATTCACACTCATCCAAGCATCTATCTGCTGATGCCCAATATTTTCTTAACGTTCTCCCTGCTGTTGATGAGGCAGTAGGCCACGGCCAGGCCCAACCCGACACCCCCGCCACGCAGCGCCTTCTTCCAGCCACCTGGAATGTTAATGTTGACGTCGTTGCGATCATGCTGTGATGGTCGACGATGCAGTTGACGTGACGACACCAACGACATAAATCACGCGACGGCAACCACAGCCAACAACAGCAACAACAAAACCAACCAGACGACTTGTACAGCAATCCAGTAGCAGTAGCAGCTGTTAATGTGTTAATCTCATCGTCGGCTCCTCGCGATTTCGATAGTACCACACCGAACGCACTGTATATCAGAGCTGTTTGTATCAGTGAGTGGGGTTGATAAATAAATAATACTCTCAAACACACACACACAACACATACACACTCACAAACACACACACACAAAACACACACACAACCATACACATACGGATACAGACACACATATATAATATACAGATATAAAAACATATACAATATATCAATACTATGTGGGGTGAACTCAACATAACACAAACCCACACACACGCACGTGTATAATATATAAACAACAAACATACATTTAATACATAAACATACGACATAATGCAAACATACGCAAACATACAAACAAACATACAGAAATGCAAATGCACAAAAACATACAAATGCAAACATAAATTCATGTGACAGTGACAAAACCATATGCAACCAAGGTTGCATATGGTTTTGTCACTGCATATGGTTGCACATGCAATAAAAATTTATAAAAAATTAATCTCAGTTACTTGGCAAATAACAGCAAACAAATAAACAAACAAACAACAACAACCCAGCAAACAACAACATAACAACAGCACTAACAACACAATTAAAAGAACAACAAACCAACCTATAACACCAAGTGATTGGGCAGAAGATGCTCCTCTCTTCGTTATAAAGTTCAATAATCTGCCAATCAATCAATCAATCAATCAATCAATCAATCAATCAATCAATCAATCAATCAATCAATCAATCAATCAATCAATCAATCAATCAATCAATCAATCAATCAATCAATCAATCAATCAATCAATCAATCAATCAATCAATCAATCAATCAATCAATCAATCAATCAATCAATCAATCAATCAATCAATCAATCAATCAATCAATCAATCAATCAATCAATCAATCAATCAACCAATCACTTAGCTAATCAAATCATAATTAATTGTTGCTCATAAACAACAAAAACCCATTCCAAACCTCTAAAGCAACACCATCACTGCAACAAGCCACAACAACAAAGACATCAGAAACAACACATCAGCACAACAATAACAAACGACAACAACAACAAAACACAACAACAACATTACCAAGCCTAGCAACACAGTAACAGTAGCACAACACAACAACAAAGTCATCAACAACACTACCAAACTAGTAACACAATAACATCAATGTCCCCAACGACGACAACAACACTAACTGAGTCCGCCTAACTGGCCCCGTAATCTGAGCGACTTTCGTTTCCTTCAATCCCGTGTACAGGCCCATCGTTCCACCTACTGCAGCACCTTGAAATAATTTAATAATAAATATTATAATAAATAAATAATATCCTAATAAATTATATTATAATAAAATGATAATAACAATTGAACTGAACTCAACTTTAATTTAATTTAATCAGAAAGTAAAATGAAATATAAATTATTTATTAAGTATTAAATTATTTATTAAGTATTTATTATCATCAATGAAAAGTTTATAATATATAAATTGTTAAAAAATTAATTAATAATAACTATTTAATTATTAATTAATCAATTATTTAATTATTTAATAATTATTATTAATTAATTATTTAATAATATTTATTTTGGGGCAAACCCATCCCATCCAACACACCTACACACACAGAGCCACCGATCTGCGAGAAGGCCAACTCGAATCTACCCCTATGTTGGTTAGCCCCATCTGGCATGATAAACTGGGGTTCAGAGTCCTGAAAATTAAAATTAGGATTAGCAAGCGCATAAATTAATACTATTATTATATTTTATTAAAATTTATTTTTGTAATATAATTTTATATTTCATGATAAAACAAAGAGGTTTCCATAATTTATCACGTTTGTTATCATCACCCCCACCACCATCATCATCACTAGCAATAGCCAGAACCACCACCCCCACCATCATCATCATCACTAGCAATAGCCAGAAAATTAAGGTTAGGAGTATGGTGGAAATATTATTATAATTATATTTGATTAAAATTTATTTTTTTAATTCATTAATTTGCAATAATGAAACTAAAGACTTTTTTATAATTGATCATGATCATCATCATTATAACATAATTGTCATCATCACTGCCACCGTCATCATCATCATCGTAATCACTAACAATAGCCAGGTAGTTGGGGTCAATGTTGAGGTATGGTGACAAGGAACCCATGGACGGTGAAACTTTACATGGCCAAAAAATATCAAAATTATTAGAATATTTATTACATATTATTATTGTAGATAGACTTACTTACAATTACATCATTATTACATATTAGTTAATTATTTTTATATTTTTTAATTTAAATTAAATAATATTAATAATTATAACTTACTATTTATAATTTCAAAATTAATAAATTGTTGATTGTTTTATTTAACATTAATAAAAAATAAAATTGTTATTATTAATAACAACATACAAAAATTATAATAAAAAATAAAAAAACGAAAAGTCACCTCCAAAGTGATTTCGATCCATTTTAATTCTTAAGACTAAAATTTTTACAAGGTGCCGAAAGAAAATTATTGAAATTAGTAATTTAAAATAATTTATTTCACCTCCACTCTGTCCGGTTGTAAGCAGTGATTAGTGAAAAGCGTTTCAACTGTTTAACCTACAACCTCTTTATTATCGATTGTTTGTTTAAAAGGAGATTTTAGCTTAATTTATTTCTCAGGTTCTGAAATTTTACTATAGGAATTGAGCTATAGTACATAAAAGTGAAAAGTTGATTAAAAATATTCTTACGGGTTACTGGCAATTATTTTTTCATTGTTATTTTGTAAATATTTGTTATCTTACTGTTCATTTCATTTATCAGTTGAATTTTAGAAAAATAACAAACAAAAGTTCTTTGCACAAATCACAACTTGACGTCATCGAATATATGAAGTATATAATTAGAATAAATATAAAAACCAATTTAGTTAACTTGTTAAGCATTAATATAAAATTGACCCTACTTGTAATAGTGATTAGTATGATGATGATGATGATCTCAGTCCTAAGCAGGGTTTATTATTCACAATGTCATTATGCCCTTTCTAAGTTTTAATAAAATACATGGAATATTGTTGAATGCATTTTATATTTTTTGTATAGATAAGAATGTTGCAATGTACAATGATGTGAATTGCTTCCTTGTGTAACTGATGACATATAAATATAACTAACTTGAAAACATGGGAATGCTTTCTTCAGCATTACCTTCCTTTCTCCATCATAACCCTTATAATCTTTATTACAGAAATGGTCACTGCATATTCTTGCATTTTTTGATGGAAGCCATTTGAAATCATTTATTTCCTGTCTGATGCACTTAATCCAATTGTTTTGCATTTTTACATTTTGAGGAAATCAGAAATTTTATAAACTGTTACAGAAACTTGTGCATTTCTTAAGTATTGCTTTTAATAATAAAATGGTGATCCATGATAGCATTATAAATTATAATAGTCTATAAAATAAAATATATGTAATTGTAAAACAAAATAGTTCTATTCAATGAGTATAGGGATATTGTTACATTTATTTTAGTGTAAACTGTAAAGTTAATTTGAAAATAAACCTGTGAAAAGATGCATCAGAAATTTTATCATTTCTATTTATTATTAATGCAATTTTTAATGCAACAGGTAGGCATGTTTGTGTATAGCTACGAAAATAAAAATTTACTTAAAAACTAAATTATTGTATCTGACACGAAAATTAGTATAGAAACAAAAACGAAAGAATAAATGACAATATAAAAATTTAAACATTGATTGAAAGAGTTTATTCTAATTATATGGTATGGGCAATTCGTTGCGAAATCGTTGGAGGAAATGGTGTCAACAGTAGTTATTTTACTGCATGGTAGTCAATCAGCCGGTATAAAGGTTATATTCAATTCCTATCAAATAAATTTGACAAAATATACACAGGCAGAACTAAATAAAGAAATAGACATGTAGTTATAATACATTTATAATGTTGTATTTACACATTCAAATTGTACAATTGTGTTATGGCGTAGGCTCAAATTATTTTGAATTTTCTCAGAAAATTTTAAACGTTTTACTACACTATATATACTAGTTATTTTTATCAACAATTTAAAAATTTTATCAATAATTAAAAAAAATTTCAAATTGATTTCATTGTGATATCGATAATGATTTTTGTAACCTGACTTATTAAAAAGCATCAAAGAAAGTTAAAATAGGATGGAGAATTTGTTATATTGGGATATTCGTTTAAAAAGCGAGCAAAAGTTTAAAATAAAAGCACTTATAAATCTATGCATATTGGCTCAGCTTGGCTTGGCTTGGCTTGGAATCGGATGTTAAGCAAGGTGTGGTCTCAAACTATTTTGAATTCTTCCCGAAAAATTTGAGCTGCGTGCGTACATATATAGTAATGGCTACTATTGTTTTTTATAATGAATTTATAAAATATATAAATATAGCGAGCAAAATATTAACATAAAAGCGCTTTTAAATCTATGTATATTGGCTCAGCTTGGCTCGGCTCGGCTTGGAATCGGATGTTAAGCAAGGTGTGGTCTCAAACTATTTTGAATTCTCCCCGAAAATTTTGAACTGCGTGCGTACATATATAGTAATGGCTACTGTTGTTTTTTATAATGAATTTATAAAATATATAAATATAGCGAGCAAAATAATAACATAAAAAGCGCTTTTAAATCTACGCATATTGGCTCAGCTTGGCTTGGCTCGGCTTGGAATCGGATGTAAAGAAAGGTGTGGTCTCAAACTATTTTGAATTCTCCCCGAAAAATTTGAACTGCGTTCTTACATATATAGCACTGATTACTGTTGCTTTTATAATGAATTTTTATTATATATATAAAGTGACTGGAATCCATGTATACAAATAATTAAATTATATTATATTAGATTATGTTTATATGAAAAGCAATATAGCAGATTCAACCAGCCAGCAAGAAAGTTTCGAAGGCGTTCGTTCGATGACTCCAATTTAGTACGGTTAGCATTTTGGTTAAGACTGTATAATAGTGTAGTACATACCTTAAATAAGTTTTTTATTGATGTGAATGATTGAAATGATGAAAATGTATGGTTGAAACGAGTATAAATAGGAGCTGAAAAAACGTTGAAATCAGATCAGGCATTTCTGCCTCGCTCGAGTCGGAGTGCCTGATCTCATTTTTTTATATTTATATTTTTTTAATTTATTTATTTTTATTTTATTTTATATAGAGTTATATAGAGTTATATAGAGTTTGCGTGTCTGTGGTTTGTGTGTTTGTATGTTGTATTTTTTTATATTTTAGGTGGGTTCTTTAGCGGTTGCTCATACATACATACATTATGTTTGTTTGTGTGGTAGTATTTTATGTTCTGTTTTACTCCTTTTTCTCTTTCTTCATGAGTCTTAAGTTAAGTTAATGAAGCATAGGTAGGTGAGGTAAAAATTAATTTATTATATAGGTAGGCTAGGGCATAAGGTAATTTAGTTACATAGGTAGGTTAGGGACTCCTATTCTTTTACTCTACTTGGTGGTGTGATTTTTGTTTTGTGTTTTGTTTTTGTTTTGTTTCACATCATACATTCAGCAGGTACGCGGTGGTT